ATCCTGGATCTGACCGCATGCGAGAACGTCAAAGATGATGCTGTCGAGCGCATCGTCAGCGCTGCGCCTCGCTTGCGGAACCTAGTCTTGGCCAAGTGTAGGTTCATCACCGACCGTGCGGTGCAGGCCATCTGCAAGCTCGGAAAGAACCTCCACTACGTTCATCTGGGTCACTGCTCCAATATCACCGATCCTGCGGTAATACAGCTGGTGAAGTCTTGCAACCGGATCAGATACATCGACCTAGCTTGCTGCAACCGTTTAACGGATAACAGCGTTCAGCAGCTGGCGACTCTTCCTAAACTTCGACGAATCGGCTTGGTCAAGTGTCAGTTGATTACAGATCAAAGTATTCTGGCTCTGGCACGACCCAAGGTGTCCCCTGATCCTCTCGGTACTAGTAGCTTGGAGCGTGTGCACCTCAGTTATTGCGTCAACCTGTCAATGCCGGTAAGTTCTTCTGACATCAGTTCACGTTTCTGCCAGTACTGATTTGGATATCTAGGGAATACATGCTCTGCTCAATAATTGCCCTCGGCTCACACATCTCAGTCTCACTGGTGTGCAGGCTTTCTTGGTTCCGGAAGTCACCCGCTTCTGCCGCGAAGCACCTCCGGAGTTTACCCAACAACAGCGAGAAGTGTTTTGTGTCTTTAGCGGTGAAGGTGTCAATCGACTTCGGGACTACTTGAACCATAGTCCTGGCTCCACCCGCGAAATGACGGAAGCTACCATGTATGACGATGACGAAGAGTTGGACGAGGACGAAGGTCAAGTGACTGGCCTGATGCATGCGACAGTCATAAACGACGAAGACTATATCGATATCGGACATGCTCACGGTTGATACCCCCTCTGCTATTCCTTCGAGCGTGCTTTTTTCCGTGCGGCCTTTTGTGTTTCTCTGCCTTTCTTACCCTTCATCTTTTGCATGACGTTTGTGTCAATTTTGGCATTATCATTCAGGGAATCATGGCTAAAGAGCGGGCGTCCCTATCATTTCCACCTCATACGTACAAACTAGGACTGTCAGATTTCATCGTCTGGAATTGCATCAATAGCGGTTGATACAACCTGGGATTCGGGTTATTCATGTTTTTTTTATTTTATTTTTTTACTTGGGTTAGGCATATATATGGCTTTCATGTCTCCTTTAAATTCACGGAGCTGTCAATCTTCGGTTGTCAGTTGCTTTTGAAGTAGATCACTGTCACATGTGACTTATGTCATGGAGTGGAGACTCTGAAACGTATCTCTACAGTGTCTCATCGCATCAATACATCAAATTGCTCTAGTTAATTCATTGCTTTATTGAACACATTTTCTCATCATTGCGCTACATCATTCAGATTGATGAGATTCTGGTTTGCCCTGCTGCACGTCTACATAGTACGGGCTTTGCGGAGTATTGCATACCGCTTCCCCGCTCTCCGCTATTCGAGCGCGTCCACCTCAACCTCCGATCATTCCTAGCTGTACCTGGGTTCCGAATCCCAGTCGCAGCGAGACAGTTGAGGCAGAAGCGACTGGTTTTGTTCAAACCAGTGTATCCGATGGCCCGTCCTTCGCTTTCACGATCCAATCCCCTCGGATTCACACCATGGCCCGTCACCGTGATCACGGCGGTCGTGTACCTTGCGCTAGTGGTGCCATTACTGGTCGTCCATCATATTGTGCCTTCAGCTCCCAGCTCGAGCCCGAATGGACTAAATCTCACCGAAGCCTGGGCTGATCTGCAGGTACTCACGAACGGATTTCACCCGTACAACTCGCACCGCAACGATGAGGTGCACGACTGGCTTCTGAAACGGATCCACGAGCTTATCGACAGCGCACCGCCCGCGAGCGAGTATGAATCGGTCGACGAGGAGAAGCCAGACGTCTTTGTCTTTGACGATACGCAGTCGAACCTCAGTTTCTCCGGCCGCGACTCCGGCCTCGGGGTGTATTTCGAAAGCACCAATATCATGGTGTATATCCGTGGTTGGGAAGAGGAACCGGAGCGCTGGTGGGAAGACCCGCACGGCCGGCCGGCGGGCAAGGGCGGCGTTCTGGTGAATGCACACTATGACAGCGTGTCGACGGGATACGGGGCCACCGATAACGGAGTAGGCGTTGTCTCGTGCCTCCAGCTGATCAAGTACTTCACCACGCCCGGGCATGTGCCGCGGCGCGGGCTGGTGGTGCTCTTCAATAACGGGGAGGAGGATTTCCTGAACGGCGCGCGGGTGTACAGCCAGCATCCCATCTCGCAGCTGCCGCATACGTTTCTGAACCTGGAGGGAGCGGGCGCGGGCGGGCGGGCGACGCTGTTCCGGAGCTCGGACGCGGAGGTCACGAAGCCGTACATGCGGACCCCGCATCCGTTTGGATCGGTGTTGAGCGCGAACGGGTTCGAGGCGGGCCTGATCAGCAGCCAGACGGACTATGTGGTCTTTGACGGCGATCTGGGCCTGCGCGGCCTGGATGTCGCGTTTATGGAGCCCCGCGCTCGGTACCATACGGACCAGGACGATGCGCGGCATACGAGCTTGAATTCCGTGTGGCATATGCTGTCGGCCGCCGTGGCCACGACGGAGGGGCTAGTCTCGGACGCCAGCGGCCGGTTTGAAGGGCTGCCGCGCGAGGATGGTCGCATTGCCAGCGGATCTGGGCCGAGGGGCGTGTGGTTCGATTTGTTCGGGAGCACCTTTGTCATCTTCGAGCTGCACACTCTGTTTGCGCTGTCGGTGACGTTGCTGATCGTTGCGCCGCTCGTTCTGCTGGTGACGAGCATCGCGCTGACTMGCGCGGACAAGATGTACCTGTTCCGGTCGTCGGCGTCCCCGGAGGACGGCGACGGCAGCGAGAAGGTGCCCTTGCAGGGGGTTCGGGGCTTCTTCCGGTTCCCCTTTCTGCTGGTGATCCCCACGGCGGTGACGGTGGGTCTGGCGTATCTGGTCACCAAATTCAATCCGTACATCATCCACAGCAGCGAGTATGCCGTCTGGAGCATGATGGTATCCGCCTGGGTCTTTCTGGCGTGGTTCGTCTCGCGCGTAGCGGACTTTGCGCGGCCGTCGGCGTTTCACCGCGTGTACACGCTGACCTGGCTGTTTCTCGTGGAGTGGGTGTTGCTGGTCATTGCCACGGTCTACGAGAACAAGTACGGCCTGGCTGGGGGCTATTTTGTCTTTTTTGCGTTTGCGGGCACGTTCCTTGCGACGTGGATCTCGTATCTGGAGCTGTTTGCTCTACCGCGCAAGTCCGAGTACACGATTCAGCTTGTGCTGCCCTCCCGGCGGGCCAGTAGCCACGGCAGTCGGCTGGGCACGGCCTCTGGCGAGGATGTGGAAGAAGGCGAGGACGAGGATGACGAGGGCACCGCGGCGGAGGCCACGGAGACGACCTCTTTGCTGCGCGGACAACGCACCACCTTTGCCAACTACGTCCGGGTGACGGGCGACTATCTTCGCGACGACGACGACGAGCCGCGCCAGCCCAACCTATACGGGCACGAGCAGGCCTGGAGCATCCACTTGCCAAAATGGGTCTGGGTGCTGCAGTTTCTGTTGACCGCACCGCTCGTCCTGATCTTCGTGGGACCTCTCGCGCTGCTGCTTACGTCCGCCCTGCGCCAGACCGGCCAGGACGGCAGCTCCTCGCTCTTGATTTACATTGCCATTGCCGCGCTCACGACCCTGCTCTTCATGCCGCTTCTCCCGTTTATCCACCGATACACGCACCACATCCCGATTTTCCTGCTGTTGGTGTTCGCCGGCACCCTGGTCTACAACCTCGTTGCCTTCCCCTTCTCCCCGGCGAACCGGCTCAAGCTGTTCTTCATCCAGGAGGTCGACCTCGACACGGGCGTCAACCACGCCTCCCTAAGCGGCGCATACCCCTTCGTCCACGACGTCGCCAGCTCCCTCCCCAGCACCGCCGGCCAAAACATCACCTGCGATTTGGATCTGCTCCGACCCAAATGTTTCTGGCCTGGGATTGCCCCGCAGGTAGTCCAGTCTCAGCGTCAGCCTCAGTTTCAGTCTGAAGCATCAAAGATGAAAGACTGGCTCTCATACAACGTCACCCAATCTGACCGCGAGCCAAAAGCCCAGTTCAACATTTCCGGCCGCAATACCCGCGCCTGCAAACTCGTCTTCGACAGACCCGTTGTGGATTTCACGGTCGCGGACTCGGCGTATGACCCGCGCTTCCCGCATGTTTCTCCGGACGGCACAAAGGAGATCCGGCTCTGGAGTCGCGAGTGGGGACATACCTGGACTGTGGATGTGGAGTGGTCTGAAACTGATGAATCCGATGAAAAAGGGCTCGGGCTGAGTGGGAGGGTGGTCTGTCTCTGGAGCGATGGGAATACAGCGGGAGTGATTCCGGCGCTGGACGAGGTGAGACGGTATGTTCCTGTCTGGGTGGGGGTGAGTAAACTGTCCGATGGGCTTGTGGAGGGGAGTCGACGTTTTCAGATATAATTGCGGAGTGAAGCGAGCATGTCTTATGATTTGTGATTGCATCTATATCTTATCTAATGGGGATCGTCTATCTGCTATGAGTTGAGGAATGATCGCGTTGTATTGACTTGAGTATTGACTTGACTCTGTTGTAATTGCGTATGCGCATGGCTTAATTAGGGTGTAGATCAAGTAAATTTTATATTCAGTATGTTATGTACAGTATATGCCAGAAGCTGAACTGCCCTTAAGCTAGCACAGTCTGGCTACGTCAGTGTTCACAGTGGACTGTGGACGTGGACTGGACCTGTATTTCAGGGGACCGAATATGGTTCAGGGTCGGGATGACGTTGGGGTATCCAGGAACCATGGAACGGACCTGTAATTGTGGAGAACATCAAGTATGAATTGTTGAATTCCTCCGTATCATTCGATACAATCAACTAGAACAGTTGAGATGGATAAATGATATGATATGATATGAATGACGTGACTCGTGACTCATTATTCGTTTGTTGAAGGGTCGAGACTCGAAAGGAGGAGAGGACCAGATCAACCCGGTTTATCGGGCGCTGGCCCACTGATGCTATTTTGCTGTTTATGCAGCGAACCCGTGAAATCGAGCGGACTCACGTCGCGCTGGGTCTCGCCGCTCCAAGACTGCGAGATCTCGGAGTGGCCGGTCGCCTGGTCTGGGATCGAGGGGGGTGCGTTCTCCGAGTGCTCGAACATGGCGATGGAGATGTCGTCCGAGTCCATCCAGGGGTGGGAGCGGCGGCCGGCGTTTGCGGAGGCGGATGCGGGGGCAATAGCGTGCGTGAGGTCGGATGTGACGCGGGTTGCGTCGACGAAGTCGGGGAAGTGGTATTCGGGGTGGGAGTAGCTGGTGGTGTGAGGGTGGTGGAGGTGGCAGTTGTCGACGCCGATCGGGTCCGATTTCCAGACATGGTTGTGGACGAGGTAGACGAGTTTACCGAGGACGGCGAACTCGAGCTTGAGCTTGATGCTGTAGATGACGCCCTTGAGCATGGTCTCCATGATGTACTTGTTCATGTACTCGACGACGAGCAGGCCGAGGTCCATGACGATGATGATGAGGTTGATGGCGACGAGCTGGTACATGATCTTGCGCTTGCCGCGGTCCGGGTCGAGGCGCAGCATGCGGATGGTTTCCCAGATGTAGAGGGCCGAGATGATGAGTTCCTGCAGACAGAAGCCGGTCATCTGGATCTTTTCCATCACGTTGTAGCCGCGGATGTAGGCCGCGGCGGCGGCGGGGCCGGCCATGTTGGAGCCGTAGGTCAGCACGGTGGTGGGGACGTGGAAGATGACAGCATCGACGAGGATCATGGTGAGGACGCGGCGCAGGATGCGTGGGTTGCGCACGACCAGATGCAGGCGCGAGTAGAGGACGATGGACTGGCCGGTGACCATGCACCACCAGCCGATGGTGATGAAGGTGACGGACAGCCAGGTCTGGTCGGTCAACTGGAAGAACTTGAGGAGAAAGCCGATCGAGTAGGGGAGGAGCCCAATGGACGAGGAAATGAGCAAGCTCCAGAAGTAGGTGCCATGATACTTGCTAAAGGTGACGAAGACGAGAACGACGAGCTCGATGGCATTGTACCAGGTGATTCCCGCCAGAGTCGCCATGGTGATTTTCATCGCCAGGCTATCGCCTGTATATCCCCCGGTGATGCCATCTCCAGGAGCTCGTGTCCCATGGGGCATGCTGTAGATCTAGGTAAGAGGGATATGAGGCATGCTGTGTTGAAGTTGTTGAACTTGTTGCAACTGGGATTGAAGCCAGGAGGAGAAAGGGAAAAGAGAGGTACTKGGGAGAGAAATGAATATAAGAGCAGTCAGGTGAGGAAGGGTCAAGATGAATCTAATAAGTATTAGTAGCGCCTCGTACCAAGAACAGCATCATTATTATTAGTGGAAGTCTTATAGACGTGGGGAGAAACCGGGGCTGTACACACACACCGTATTATTGTCATTATTAGATATTATTAGCGCTGTCACGGTGATTTATTATCGTTACCACCAGTACGGAGTACTTTATGATTAAGAGAATGAGACCAATAATAATTGAATGATATATCGAGAGACCGATATACCCCGAAGCACGATAATATGACTGGTCCAGTCGGTAATATTTAGGATGGTGTACCTTACTCTTAGTTCAAGATCCGTGGATATTCTCAACTGTCAATAGCTCCATAGCCAAAATCAGATGAGATCATGATTCCAAGTCTGATCGATAGACAGGAGTCAAACAGGAGGGAGAACGAAATCTATCTAGTGCCACTCAGCTTACTGTTTGATCAGCGTTACTCAGCCCAGGGCAGATTTCCAATCCAACGTGGTTGGCCAAATCGGTTAACTCGACTCGAACGATCGGGTAATAAAATACGCAGGACATCTTCAAATGAGACTTGGACATAATGGACTAGACTATGGCTTTGCCCGCAAGTGATAGTGATAGTGTCGTGTGCACTTGACAGCATACTCCCCCTTGGGTATAGACGACGGCGATCTGTGATTCATTATTACTTGCCAAGTCTCTAACCTGTGCTGGATTTCTCCACGAAGAAGACCCTGGTCTTGTCTCTGATCTGTCGGTCCAGTTTAGGATTGACTCTCGTACTCAATCCTCCGGAATATCTCCGTACCTCGACTGATTTACCTCAGTCAATGATATACGACGGGACTGGCTCTGCGAGTCTGTGTATTGATCGTTGCTGGCAAGTGGACCTCTCAAGCTAGTCCTCGTGGGTCATCGCAAAGGACACAGTAATGACCGTGCGAGCCATGACTTCATCTAGTTGACTACTACCTTCTTCCTGGTCAATACTATGTATCGACACCTGAATCCTGACCAGTCGAAACCACCCAACGTCCCGTGTTCTCTGATTGGGAAGAGTCACTTTCTGGGAATCTTGCGGTGTGCTTGTGCCGACCTCAGCTTGTACCCTAGTTGTTAGTCAGATACCGCATGCGCGGTAGGTGGCTACCTGTCTACTGACAAGCATTTCTACTTCTCTACCTCTGCTCTACCAACCTCCAGAACGAGATTACTCTGATTCACCCCGTACTCCACACTCTCTACCCAAAGTATAAGGTTGACTGATTGACATCATCGGCTCAGCGTCCGTGTCGTTCCTTAACTCCCCGAGGACACAAAGTCTAATCTTATTGCCTGTAGTTTGAACGTTACACGGCGAGGCCTCGAATAATATTATCAGATGTTCTCCGGTGTCGTAGAGGGATACTACTATTATTCCGGCCCACCGCTAAGGACCATATCATATCCCTTGCTCCAGACATGCTGAGCCAAAACGGAAACATTCTCGATCTCAAGCTCAATCTCAATATTAGTGACCAGCACGTGTCGGCGCAAGGAGACTTCATAATTGAATGGAATGCTACGTCTCCTTGCTCGACTGCCTTGTCTTCCCTTGGCACAGACAGTAACGGCAACCTCCCCGAGGGGATCGCCGAATCCTTCGCCTGTCTTAGTTCCAGCTACTACTGGCATGAGAAACACCGGCGATCCAAACTGTCGGAGTTTGTGTCTCATTAAACAAATGGGATATCTCTATGTGCTTCGTACTCCGTAGATAGTGTACATTACCCCTGACCTGAGGCATGCCCAAACTCCAACCTAAACACAATCAAATCGCTCCTAACGCCTCGCCATGGCCCATATCCCTGTCGCAATTCACTTTCAAACTCCGTAATTCAACCCAACCAGAAGCCAAACAAAGACACAACCGTCCCCCTTTACCGTCATTATTGACCTTGAGACTCTCCCCCAGTAGCAGCAAGCACCCTCTCCACCTCCCCCCTACACTCGGGCATCGCACTCCTCATCTCCCTAGCAAGCACATCCCGGAAGCTCGCAAACGCCTCCTTCTTCCCCTTCAGATCCTGGTTCCCGCGCTGCACCAGCTCCACGAATTCCCGCGTGTAGATGTCCGGGTTGCGCGCCGCGTCGACGTAGTCGATAATCTCGGGGGGCAGTTGGAGGTCGCGGAGGAGGGGGTCGTCTATTCTTGTTTCGGCGGTGTCTTTTTCCCTTTCCTCCTGCTTTTCCTTCTGCTCTTCGTTTTGCTCCTGCTCCTGGGGCTGGGGTTTGGTGTGTGTGGAGAGGGTGGAGAGCGCGAGGGTGAGGTTTTTTCTGTTGCATGCATCGCATCAGTATCAGATTATAGTATCTAAGGAAAGGTGAGGTGATGGGAGTGTACATTTTTCTGACGAGCTCGGTTTGAGTCTCTGGGCCTAGGTAGCCGTGGACGGCGGACTGGATCTCGAAGAGGTGTTGGATTACCTCTTTGAGGTCGTCTGTTGTTTGGTCAGAATTGTCCACTCTAAAACGGGGTGTGTAGCGTACCATCCACGGTGCTTAATGTGATTGGGGCCATCTTGCTGTAGATAGTGGCTAAGATGGACATGGATTTATTTGACTTGAACTGTATCTCTGTAATGGCAGCAGGCGGAGACCTACTGCGGGGCGGCACTAACCCTTTGTGGTAATTCTAACTACCGCTGCTTCAATAATGGACAAAATAAGGACGAGCAACTTTTGCTTCGATATGTTCATCTAAATCAATATGTATATATGATATTAATTAGGCCAAAATGCAAGGCCAAGTCTACGCGCACAATTATACCTCCTTGGTCCTCAGACCAGCAAACTTCGGTATCTCAATCTCCGTTTCGACCATCTCCAGTCCAGACAGACTGGGAAACCGTCGACTGAAGCTGGCCTCCCAGTCTTCACCCGGGCTGCTCGGTGTCGCCTGCGCCGTCGGGCTGCGCTCCTCCCCGGAGGACCGACCCATGTCCGGCCCACCCACACGAAGCCCTTTCGGCTTGGGAGGCGCCGTCGGCCGCGATCCCGTGCGTGCTGTCTCCTGCCTGGAAGCGCTCGCCGGTCTTCCAGACGGCTGTTCTTGAGCCGAGTACGTGGCTCCGCCCCGTGTGCCTGGCCGCGACACCGGTCGGCCCTCCGTCTGCTTCGCCTGCAAAGCAGCAGCACTCGACTCGTCTGTGTACCGCCCATAGCCCGTCGCCGTTTTCTGAGGTGGAGGCTTGTTGCTCTGCCCGAGCAGTGTCTGCACCCTGTTTTTAATCGCCGACGACCTGGGCCCGTCAGTTCCCACCACTCGGGCCCCTCCCTCTCCTTGTTCCGCAACCCGGCGCCGGTACTCGGCCGCTGCCGCCGCCACTCGCTTCTCCTCCTGCGAAAGCCGCCGGCGCTCGAGCTCGCGCCGCATCTCCGGGGATATATCCTCGTTGCTCTCATCGCCACTCAATTCCGCCGCATAGTCGGGCACTTCCGATGTTGTCACAGAGGGCAATGGCTTCGCTTCTTCCTCCGCGGTGGAAGACGGCGATTTGTCCGGATTGCTCTGCTCGAAGCGGCGGAAAGCGTCGCCAAACCGACCGGCAAATAACGTCTTGGTGCCGGAAAGGGACAGCGTGGAAAGACTCGTGCGCTTACTGTGCTTGTGGCTACCACTGTACCGCTTCTCACGCTTCCGGTTCAGTTCCTCTTCTCTGGCACGCAAGAAGTCCACATCCGACGAGATATTGGCCCGTTCGGACATGTCTATGTCCGTGCGTGCGTGCTGCAGCGGCGCGCCGCCGTCGTACATCGGTCTGCTCAGGTCCAGAGATGACCGAGCGCTCTCAGATCCCCGCGAGAACTCGAGCCTGGATCCGGTATGGACAGAGACCGGGCGCACCTTGCCGTTGGCCGACTTGGACCGGCCCATGGGACCACCGGCGTCCAGATTCGGTCGCACCCCGTCCAACGAGGGCCGTGACGATGCAGATGACAGCGAGGACAACTTGTCGAAGGAGGTCTTGGGATGTGGCTCCAGTTTCGTCGATGAAGTTGGAGGCGAGGGCGCCTTGTTGGGTCTCACAGACTTTTGATCCGCCTCAGCCAACAAAGACGGATTGGCCGGCTGGCGGTGATGATCGGACGAAGGAAACCTGTAAATATTACGGCTGGATGGTTTCGTCTCTGCAATCCCTGGCGTGGTTGGAGGCGAGGTCATTGTCCCGGTCGACACCATGGTGGGTCGCTGGGGAACAGGTTGGTACAATGGAGCCTGCTGCGACGGTTGCTCTTGAACATGTCGCGGCGGCTCGATAGGCTTTGATTCCACCGAAGACGTCTGAGGTCGCTGGCTGGCCGATCGTTCTTCATTCTGCGGCGAGGGCCGCTTCGCAAAGGCGTCGTCCGCAAGAGCATTTGTGAGTCTCCGCGCAAGATCTTCGTCCTCCGACTTCTTCTCTGGGACGGTCGGCTCAAAGTCGAACTTGTCCTTGTCCTCATTCAAAATCTGGAACTGATCAAGCGACGGGAAGCGATTCGAAAACTCCTCGATGGAGTTTCGCGACTTGTGGCCACTGCCGTCCAGAGCAGCAAAGGGGTCTGTGGAAGAACCACCGCGGAAGGGAGACGGGCTTGCTTTCGCCGAGTTGTGCTGAGAATGATCCGGTCTGGTCGGACGTCCTCGACGCATCGGTGCGATTTCGGGAATAATTTGGGTTTCCTGGACAGGCGGGGAGAACACCGCTCCCACCTGAGGTGCTTCCACCGGGGAAGGGGGAAGTTCCTGATAACGACGAGCTTCCGAAACAGAGCGACTGGCATATATCTAAGGTAAAAAAGACGTGAGATTTCTGAACTCCTTTTTGGGCGGTAGAGCAGCCTGCTTACATCGCGAATAGGAACTTCCTTTCCTTGCATGCTGCATACTTCGCGCACTACCTCATAGATAGTAGGGCGCTTCTGGGGATTCTCCTTCAGCATCCACGCTAGTTGCTGTCAGTATTTTGCGTAATCAAACACACATGGCAACTCACCGATGAGCGCTTTCAGACGATCCGAGAATGGAGGATATGAATGGAACTTGTAGGTCGCATTCAGAATGGCCATTTGGCCGACCTCTTCGAACGGCGTAGTGTAATAGCACAGCTTGTATAACAGAACTCCTAGCGCCCAGATATCACTCTTCTCGTCGATCGGCTGTTTGCGGTAGACATCAATCATCTCGGGGCTTCGATACTGCAGCGTCGTGTGTCGTTGAACATCATCCTCAATCAAACGACCCTCAGCAGCCGAAGTCGCAGCCGGGCGAGGTGGAGCTGCAGAGCCAAAGTCGCAGAGTTTATACAGAGGGGTATTTCCCTGGAAGGAGATGAGGACATTCTCGACCTTGAGATCGCGGTGCAGCAAAGGGGGCTTGAGATAGTGCATGCAGGCCACCCCCTCCGCCACATCCGAAAAGATCTTGATGATTTCCGGCTCTGTCAGCCGGTTCTGCAAGCGTGTGTTCATAAAATCAATCAGACCTCCCCCGGAGCAAAACTCCATCAGCAAAAACACCTCGTACCCACCCCCTCTCAGCTGGGACGCATGGGAATCGATGTACTTGACGATGTGTCGGTGACCTTTCAGTTTCTTCATCGTCTCGACCTCCGTCCGCATATTCGCCAATGCAGCCTTATCGGGGACCGCAACCCGCTTCAAGACTGCTCTATCGGAGCCATCGATGGGCTGGGAAAGTCGCACGACGTAGACATGGGCAAAACCACCCTCCGAGAGGTATTTCTCAACCACAACTCGATGGCTGCCGACCTGAACCTTGGTCCCCGGTAGGAAGGTGCCTGCTGGAGCAGTGACAGCCGCAACCGGGTTGAAGGTCTGTATAGGCCGGGGAGGAGCGGCGTGAGACTGGTAGGTTTGGGTAGGGGGATGGTAGGAGGACATGATGGACTGAGAGCCCTCGGAAGGGCGAGTGTCGATACGGCCAAACTGCGTAATCTATCGTCGCTGCATAGAGGACGAGACGAGGAGGCAACGAGAGAAATAGATCTTGGTTCAGCGTGGAAGCAGACCAATCTACAATGAGGACAGTTGGCGGGGAGGCGGAGAAGCGATGTGAGGCGGTACCTGACTGCCCCCACTGGAAAAAGGGCAGTGATTCGATAGGGTGTACTCCGTAGTAGGGGGGTGTAGGATAGTCAAGAAGATGGAGACGCTGACAAGCAAATCTTGGTCCAAGAGAACCTCGACTGACCAGCAGCAGCAGTGCCAGTGAATAACTAACAGTACTCCGTAGTAACTAAAGACCTCCGTAGGTACCTAGGCAGCGGTGGATGATGGTGGAGGTTGAATCTAACCGTTTTGAGAGGTTGGTTGGCAAGCGGCTCCCATTTCCCCCGACCGCCACTACTCATCACTATCTACAAGTGCTATTGGAAGTTCTCGAGTTGGTGTCATATCTCTGAATCATCTCCCTATGTGTTTACCAGCTGGCAGTTTTTCGTCTATCATTTCTTGAAGATCCCTTGTAGTAACTGGACGTAGTGACTATGTCTCGCAATCCTCATGATCATCAGGCACCATCGCCAGCTGATCATGGGATTCGCCGGCCATCCTCCGACCGACCCCGATGATGCTAACTTGACCTCGAACATAGTCCACGTTCCTTGACTGATCGATCGGAGAGGATATCTACCTACTGGAGAGCCCAATGGCATACCATGTTCTCGAGATCACTTGCTCAATGCTCCGCTGTTTCTATGCTTCGAGTGATAGTCGAATGGTCAACTTTTTGCCGTGAAACGCGTTTAAAAGCAGCATAGGGCCTCAAGCAGAACATACACAGATAACTATGCTTGGAGATCTTGTTAGTGCCATGGAAATTCCCAACAAAGCTCAGTCCAGAGGAGATTGCTTAGAATACGGAAAATCAGCATCAAGAAGCGACAGATTCTCCGCCCGTGCATGCAGGCATAAGATTATGTAAGGTATCTTTGTACAGAAATCTATGCCGATGTCTTCAGCCAATCAACAACCAGTAATGACAGACGAACCATCGCCAAATGGAGGAATTTCAAAACAAACAAAGTCGTAGCACCGTTATTGACTGCCAAAGAATGCGCCAATCGTCAGAGCCAGCACATTCTTCGGAGATCTCCTGGTTAAGCTTGATTGTAAAAGTTATTATATCAGAGACATGAGGATTCTTTCATGAGTTTATTCGAAGTTGAATCTCGATAAAGAAATGCATGAATGGCATTGTGGTTCACTAATGGAGCGGTTGCTTGGTCATGGCGTCCTGGTTCCATCTAGACCTTAGACTGCGCGCCGATGAAGAGGTCTCTTATTATTCAGGTTCAATAAGTTGAAGCATCCCTATCTCATTCTTAGCTTTTTGCTGTTTGCAGAGAAAGAATCAGGGGCGATTCGGTACTGTTCTGCTTCGGACGAGTTGGAAACAGTCAGATCTATATATCGCAAGAGTCATCTATAGAAGCACTCCCCAGGAACGTCCGAGTGTCAACAAATATCTGTCAATTATAAACATAAGATAACCATTCTTCCCTCTGTTTCACGAGCCTGGACGGTCCTTCGAGTTTGACGAATTAATCGGCAATAATCTGCCAACATTACGTATGTAGTATCGATCTCCTAATGCTTTGGCTGCCGCTGATCAATCACACGTTTCCATAGCCTCCTCGCCATTGCCGCCTCGTTTTTCCCTCTTCATCCCACTTCCATCCTCATCCACATCGTCTTCATAGTCTTCTGGCTGTTATTTTGGCATAACCTCGGAGCGCAAAAGCTGGCTTTTAGTTTATCATAGTATATCATGTAAGCCCTACTTCGTTCGCAATCGTGCCCACAATCCATTTCGGACGCTGACAACGACTTTCCAAAAGCAGGTCAAGCGCTGGAGGCCACAACGCCTCAGTGCCTTCTCAATGATTCTGAGAATATGAACAAATTGTCGATTACGTCTACGCCTCCAGCCTGCCACTTCTACGATAACACATTCAAAACCAAGCCCACTAGAGTGCTGAGAACGGGTCTTTCTCATCAATAACGAGCGACAACGGCGTTCGGATCCTGATATCAGTCGCTGCACTCCAAAGACTTACTCAAGGGTCCAGCGCTTGTAGTCTAAACACTATAAGGGTTGACAATGGACGGCCCTCCCCCGCCTCCACCGCCTCACGGTGAGAATCCGAACACCACTCACGGATTCAAGAAAGGCTCCGGTCTTCCGGACGGAAACTACGATATTTTTATCATCCCACCTCATTCCTCGGGTTCTGGTTTCCTATACCTTCCCTCGTTACAAACTCACCGGAATAGCTTCCTGGCCGGCGCTGTGTCCGCGCTAGTGGTGGTTTACATCTGGCAGACACTGTCTCCCATTGTAAAGGCATGGTATCTTGCGACAGCCGCCAATGGTGGCGGAATGGGCGTTACGATGCTAGCGGCCATCGTTGGCATTGCGGGATGGGGGTTTGGTGCATATCAAGCACATGTAGCTGGTACAAACCGAGACTCCGGAGGAAGCTCTCAATCCCGCCAGTCTGGGCCAGGCGGCCCTGGGGGACCTGGTGGAGCTGGATTTGGAGGGCACGGAGCTGCCGGCGGTGGCGGCTCTTACCATCAGTCCTCAGGTGCAGGCCCTGGCCCGGACTATTCGAGAGGCCCCAATTTCGGTGGGCCTAATCCAGGGCCGCAAGGAACTTACGGCAGTGGCGGTAATTACGGAGCCGGCAACGGCCCAGGAGGCCCGTATCCCGGGAATCAGTATGGCGCTGGCGCCGCGCCCCCACCGTCGAATGCCGACCCGGGTCCGGAGCAAGCAGAGCCAACTTCTCCCAGGAGCGAAAGCAAAAGTAAGAGTGGCGAAGATTGGGAACGAGCTCGAGAAGAAACGAGGCGAAAGGAGGAGCTCAAGCGGAAGATGGAAGAGTTCAAACGAAAAAGGGAAGCTGAAGCGCGAGAAAAGCAGAAGCAGCGGGAACGCGAGGCCATGGAGAGGGAGCTTCGAGAGCGCAGAGAGCAGCTTGAGAGAGAGATGGCCGCAGCAAAGGAAAAAGCCGAAAGAGAGGCGAGGGAGCGAGCTGAAAAAGAGGCGGCGGAAGCTCGAGCAAAGATCGAGCGCGAACTTGCTGAAGCAAAGGCAAAGGCTGAACGTGAAGCAGCCGAGGCCAGAGAAAGGGCCGAGCGAGAGGCCGCGGAAGCCAAGACAAAGGCAGAGCGCGAAGCAGCAGAAGCTCGAGCTCAAAGACTTGCTGCTTTGGCCAAGGAAAGAGAGGCTAGAGCTAAAGCCAAAGCTGAAAAAGAGGCCGCAGAAGCAAAGGCCAAGGCCGAGAAGGAGGCCGCAGAGAAAGAAGCTGCCGCAAAGGCCGCTGCAAAAAGGGAGGCCGATGCCAAATTTGCCGCGCTCAAGGAAGCCGCTGCGAAGAAGTATGCTGAAAAGAAGGCCAAAGATGCGCAGGAAGCGGCAGCTAAAGAGGACGCAGCGGCCAAAGCAGCAAGCAACAAGTCCGCAACCGCCTCGACGGCTCCCAGGACCCCGTCTCCAAAAAAGCCAGCGTTTCCCGGCAGCGCCCGGACACCAACGACTGCCGACGAGGATGATGCCTATTCCTTCCGGCCCTACGACCGACCCCGCAGACCGTATGCGGGTACATCGGGTTCCTCGGTCTATTCCGAATCTTCCTATGCCCCTTCACAGTCGACAGCTCGGACAACTCCGCCACCTTCAACTCGAGGCGCCTACTCGACCAAAGATCCGGACAAGATTGTCATCCGCGGCGTTTATGCCTTCAACAACGCCTCCCTGCGAAGTCCTGTGGCGCAGTTGGTATCTGGTCAAGGGATGGTGACAGATGGACTGGTGTTGCGCATCACTACCGAGGGACTCTTCATTGACGACGACATCCGAGGTGTACCTCAGCGCGAATGGGACGTCAAGGCCTGGACCATGAAATTGGTGGAGGTGTGGTGTCCCCAATACGGAGCGACGGCGCAAGGCCGTCCGAACCCTAAGCCCGCCAACGTGTTCTTCCGGCGGAGCGCCAATGAACCAACCCCGGAGGAGTCGGATGCGAATCTTGTGAACTTTTTGAAGGTGTGCAAGAACAAGTGCCGACTGGCATCACCTGACGCGGAGGAGCATGGAGGGCTGCATGTCCTCCGCGCCAGCATCCGCGACCAGGAAGGTCGTCGTTATGTCTTCGTTCTGCAGGAGACTGAAGGGTGGAAGGTTGCCGTGGGCCTGCAGCGTCTGCGCAAGGGCACACAGGCCAGAGCACTGGGTGTGTTGGGCATGGCCGGAAATGAATGCCGGACGCTGCTGGGGAACCTTGGTTATGTTGCATAGTTTTTGGCTATTGAGCGAGCATTGTTTGTTATGTTTCCATTTCTTTCTCCATCCATTCATATCCATCCCCATTGCATATTCGACAGCACATTCGTTATGAATACCCCAAGATTCCCCTGATGATTTCTAGTTATGATCGAGTTGTATTGTTTTTTTTATTTTATAATGACCTTGTTCAATGAGATACTCGTTCTCTGCATATGGTGTGTACATTATTGAACTGCTATGGATTCTGTTTATCTTTGTAGATAGTTGGTAGCGGGTGACGTTATGATGTCTTGGATTCTTGAGGTGACATCCACGTGCTCCTCCCCTTCAACATCAACATCATCATCATAACCACCATCATCACATCGTATGCCGCATCACAGCTCCATCATTGAATAGACCAAACCGCTCGTCTTCCCATTTCATCATGTCGTAATCTACAATTCTGTATATTCGACCTTCAGGTTGCATGTTACCAACGCTCTTCTGCGAGCTTCTTACAAGCTAACCGCTCCATTCTACAATCCTCCAAATCATATGCCCCGACACTCAATACTTTAGAAAGGATCAATCTTCTCCCCCAAAACGGTATCATGTCTGAGGTCGGTCCTTCAGACCATCACCATGACTCTGCACCCACCTACCAAACGTCACTGCAAGACGAGGATCAATCTCATAGCGCAGCTCCCCTCTTACCTAAGTCTGGAGATTATGAAACCACGCCCGCAGACGGGATGAAAGAGCTCGAAATAGGAGACGTCAAGAATTTCAGCCCGAGCCCGAATCCCAGGCCAAGCTCTTCCTTCGGGATTGACGATGCATGGACCCCCGGCTTCAAGCGGACTCATTCCCGATCCAGGACCTCCAGATGGACGTGTCTACTGTTCCTTCTCAAGGCTGTCCTGGCCGTTTGGTTCAGTGTAATGCTTTATAATGTCATTCGGTATTGTGCTCGGGTGAGTCATTGCGTGCATCCATGCTTTTAGACACTACTGACCGCTGCAGTCGCCCAAATCCACCGGTGATCTTCCAGACACCAGCTCCAGCACCAGCGACGAGGGTAGCCCCGCGTCTGCATCTGCATCCAGGGACCGGAGAATAGCTATCGACTCCAACGCCGCGAACATACACGGCGTGTACCCCCTCTACGACTCCCTATCCCTCACCACAACAACAGGTAACATCACCGTAGCCATCGCCCCGCAACCGGCCCACCCAGACCACCCATTCGAGCCAGCGCGACTGCATATCCGCTCCCTCTCAGGGACAGTCACCGTCTCATTCACCGCGCCAGAGGCAGCCATCCTCCCGGACCTCGAACTGGCCATGAAGCTGGACCAGGACGGCAATGATTCACTGCCACATACCCAGGTCACGAAAACCTGCGATCTACCAGCCCGTCCCTACGAACTCGACATCCAGACTGAGACAGGGCCCATCGCAGGCCGGATGGTCTTTTCGCGCTCTGCGCGGCTGGTTTCGGGCGGTGGTGATATCACTGCTATGCTTATTCCGGTTATTGGTGGTGTTGGCGAGGATTGCACCGGGGATAGGTGGCGGAATGTGTCGATCGTGACGGAGACTGGATCCGGTGAGCAGCGGGTTCATGTTACACAGCCTTATGTCTTGGGTTCGAAGGCTGAGGCTGGGGCTGAGGCCAATTACTTTGTGGCGGGGTGTCATGTTGCGGGGAATGGGGCGATGGAGGTTGCGTATCCGGCTGCTTGGGCTGGGAATGTGCATGTGCGTACTGAAGGTGGGAGCGTAAGGCTCGAGGGGGAGGGTGTGGAAGTTGTGGAGTCGGGAGAGGGGATGGCCGATGCGATGGTTGGGACAGGGAGGATTAGTGATGATGAGAAGGACGATGAGGAAAGCGCTGACGAGGGTGAGGGTGACAATGAGGAAGACGACGACGACAACGATGAAAAAAGGCGAGGAGGATGGATGGATGTAACCTTCAGCTCCAAGGAAGGACCAATCCTGTTCTATGTTGGGTAAAATGGTATGATATTTAGGAAAAGTCTTCGTCTGGGAGTGTGAATGAATCCGCAATGGCATAACCTCGAGTATTCATGTCTATCAGTAATCGACCATGGAAAAATGTATCATTCATATCAAAAGGAGGCATCATCATGCCCCAGCAAAAATCAGTAACCGTACATGGAGTATATAACGCCTTACAATGACTTCCGCCGCGCCCCAAATCAAATGATCTGCTTCTGCTCGAATCCCACTGATACGTGGAAAGCCAGTGAAACAAAACGACAAAGAACCTCGACCCGGATACCATCAGGCCGATAAAAGTGGGAAAAAGTGGCAAAGAAATGAAAACAAAAGGGACGCCAATCTATCGCATCAGGCATCAGGAGCAGTCCGATATGCAATGCACCCAGGGAATATTTTGAAAGACGACACGTATGCATGTGGAGCGGCCTGTTATGCAGATGAAGGAGGCAAGACCAAAGCAAGAAGAGTTCTATCGTCGTTGTGGTATCAATCACATCGCTTCACGATCTTTTTCATCTATCGTGGTTCAAACTGTCGGATTGAGTCTGAGTTTAGAAAGGGAATCCACCAGGGAAGCCCTGAGACTGATGGTGGTGTTGGCTGCCGAAGGGATGGCCACCGGCCGAGGCGAATCCTCCGCCGCCGTTCATCATGTTGAAGAGAACGCTGGGATCGATGTTGATGTGAGTGGCCCCACCCATGCCTCCCATGCCTCCCATGCCTCCCATACCGCCCATGCCGCCCATACCGCCGAAGCCACGGCCTGCAAACATTTCGGCAGGGTCAATGAGATCATCGCCATTGTCGTAAGCAGCGCGCTTCCTATATGACGTTAGAATATACCAGAACTACCAAGCCGACGGGGAACTTACTGAGGGTCGATCAAAGTCTCATAGGCCTCTCCGATCTCCTTGAACTTCTCGTCACCAGCCTCACCATCCCGGTTCTTGTCGGGGTGATACTGGATGGCGAGTTTGCGGTAGGCCTTCTTAATCTCCGACTCCGATGCGTCCTTGGAGACACCAAGGATCTTGTAGTAGTCCTTCCGTTGAGCCTTCTTCAGCTCAAACTCTGCGCGGCGAATGTCCTCCTGAATGCCCTTTTCACCGGGGTTGGCCTCTGCTACTGCCTTGTAGTCGCGGATAGCCTCTTCCCAATTGCCGGCGCCACCGTAGGCCTTGGCGCGCATCTTCTGCGCCTTGAGGTACGAGGGATCTAGTTTCAAGGCCTCATTGCACTCGTTGATGGCATTCTCGTATTCCTTTAGGTTAATGTATGCCTGAGCTCGGTTCTGCAGGATCTTGGCGTTCATGTCCTTGTTCTGAGGGTCCACCTCGAGCGCTTCGGACCACAGCTCGATAGCCTTGCGGTAATCCTTGGCCTTGAAAGCATTGTTTCCTTCCTCTTTGGTGCGTGTAAGCTTCTGGACGGTGCGCAGCAACTTGATCGCCTGTTTCATGTCGGGATCCAGACCCAGACACATCTTAAGCGTTTTCAGAGCCTGTTCGGATTCTCCCAAGCCGTAGTACGCACGAGCACGGATCATAAGTGCATCAGGGTCCTGGTTGTTCTCGCGGAGCATAGAAATGGCGATATCCTGCGCTTTCCTCAACGAGTTTTCATTACCCATCTTCAGTTGTGCTTCGGCCGTCAGAAGAGTCCACTTGCGGGGTTCCTTGACTCCGCGGCCCAGCAGCTGCCGTGCCTGCTCAACGCAGAACAGCACCATCGACACACCTCGATCTTCCGCCAGGGTTTCTTCGGCTTGTTTGATGAAGCGCTGCATCTTTTCAGGAGCGGCACGGTCGGTCGCAGAGGCGGGGGGTTGGACACGGGACAAAACCTCGAGAGCCTCGGACGGACGTCCCAGAGCAGTCAGAATGCGGGCCAGACGATACATGATCTTGGAGTTGTCGGGATCCAGCTCCAGAGCGCGCTCGGCATCTTCTAAAGCTTCGAGGTAGCGGTTGGCAGAGAGATATGCCGCAGCCCGGTTGGAGAGGTAGATGGAGGAACTGGGGTTGATTTCAATGGCTAACCAATTAGCCTTGTGGAATACTTTACATACGAAAATGCATACTCACCTTTGGTGAACTCTTCAATCGCGCGATTGTAATTTCCGTCCTTGAAAAATTTATTGCCCGCCAGTTTGAACGAGTCGGCTTCGGCGACCGAGCCATTGGACTTGTGCGGCGGCGGGGTAGGAGTCCGGTCAGTCTGAGCGCCGTTCACACCATTGGTGTTCTGGGAAGGAGAGGCRGGCGAATCGATATCCATTGAACTTCGATCGGCGGCAGAAGCCATGGCGGATAAACGACGTAGCTCGTCGGGGGGAAGATTCAAAGGATGAAAGTCGGGATCGCGAGAGTAACGATCGAAGGTGGAGGATAGCCGGGAGGTAGGGAAACTGAACCTCGCAGCGGAGGCGTCCTTGGACGAGGAAGGTTTGGATTTAGCGGAGGTCTGAGATCTCGACTTGGGTTTGGACGACCTCGAGGACTGAGAGGACGGTGGATGAATGGATGATGAGGAAGAGGAACGGGTGTCGGCGGTAGATGTGGAGTGAGAGCGAAAATGAGGAGGATGACTGGGGGTGTGGCGAGACGAAGAAGTTGAAGTGGAGGATGACCGAGATGGAGGAGTCTCCGTCGATAGAGKAGGACTTTTTGGAGATGAAGTCTTCTTCGAATCCTCTTTGGAAGAAGTGGACCGCTTGGATTTGTGACGGGCAAAGAGTTGAGGAAGAACCATCTCTTTTTCTTCTTGCGGCGTTTTCCTGTTCTGGTCTTTTTCTGGTTATAAAAAATCCCAGTCGCTGATTGGCTGAGAGTATCGAATGTCAACGAAGGCGGTGGAAATGTTTATCTTGATATTCTTCCGCTGGTATACCGGTGAGAGCAGGCGATAGTGAATAATATAGAGATGGGGAGGAAGAGATCAAGAAGAATATCAGGTATCCAAAATTAATTCACGGTGATTTCACAATGTCGTGAATGGGATGTGGTTAGGAGGAGAAGAATGCCATAATAGAAAAATGTTGACACTGCTGATGCTAAAGTCATGTGCTCTCAAGTGCTGTGTTACCTTGTATAGATAGCAGAGAAGAGAGAGCTGTCAATTCATCAACAATCTTAACGGAGAATGAAGTTTAATATATTAATGATGACCTGTTATCTTCTCTGATCATCCTCTCTGGATTATATCTATCTATCTTGTGATCAAACGTCCCCCCCATTTACTTGGCCTCAGAGAAAAAACCAGGAGGCTGGTAAAAGAGATCAAGTGCTGCTGCTGGCTTAGCGTGCATTTGTGGAAGCTCGTCGATTCTTCCGTGGACGCGACAGAAGTACTGGCGTTCAGCTATGATTCTGACGCAGGTAGAGTCAGTTTGTCTACGAAGTCCTCGAGATGAAGAGCAAAAACAGGTCCGACGTTGTCACTTTACTACGAATAAAACAGAAGGTATTCCATCTTCCGTTGCATGAAAATATGACCCATCTGCAAGTGACGAGACGATCTAGATCTCTATCTAGATAGTGCTTGACAGCAGTTGAAGCATTGGACTATTGGCGAATCACCCACTGGCCCCAGCGCCCGCAATCGAGTCCCAAGTCAACACGTACCCGATCCTGTGGCTTCGATGGGTGAACCCAAGGGTTTGGAATGGAGCACGACATTATTATAGTACTCAGATCTGACCGCCATTTCGAATCAGAAAATAAAACATTCCCTGGGCCCTCTTGATCCTCAGTCTGCTCTTTGGCTTATGGTCCCGTCTCCACCGCCGCCGGAGAGTCGTTCAGAGTTGCTGCCGGACCATCCTCAACATTGAGATTAAGTTGGTCCAATATGAGATGCTGCTCTGCTTTGCGAATGGCTTGAGCCATTTCTATTTTCAGTTGCAACTCTTGCTCGGAGATCTGTGATGCAATAATCGCTGTGTGGTAATCGCGCGCCAGCTCTCCCACGGTTGCGCGGACCATACGTGTGATTTTGCCCTCGGTCTGTTTCAATATGTTGGATAGCTCTTCAGACACTCGTTGGGCACTCTTTTCTAGGATTTGTGCCCCATTCACTTTGGCTTCACGTTTCATGAGAGCTTGCATCCGCTTGAGCATCCCAGTCCCTTACTCCGTCAGCTGACGACACGCATAAAGGATAACCAATACATACCGGCCTCGTTTGCGCACCGCCAAAATGTTCCTTCAAGCTCTGCTGCAATCACTTCGACGAACAACCGGTTCGCAGTCTTCTGTTGGATCCTGAGGGACTCCTCGGTCTCTTTGACGTGGTGTCTCAAAAAGTTGACGGCCGTGCCTAGGGTTTTCTGCAGCTCTGTATTGTTCTGTTGCGCGATACTCTCATCTGCAGATGAGACTATGTCCTTGTGGAAGATGTCAAGGCATGTTCCGGTATCCTGGGAAAAGATCTGGAAATGCAATTGGATCTCTTCGTTGAACGTCCTAATGCGCAGTCAGCAGCCGATCGTCTTCATGGTATTCGAGATCTGACCTGATCCAGTAGGAGCGGATATATTCCAGCATGGGGTAGGCCCTGTCGACAGTTCAGTCTCTCTTGTTCATCAACAATGTGCTTCGAGCATTACTTACACCTCGATGTTCCAATTCTGACGGACAGTTAGCATTTCATGGCTATTTGGCGGGCGTGACATACATAGCCTTTCCAGACCCCGCTGCGACGGCATATCGCTCGGTAGGTGCTCCAATGCACATCTTCATTCCAATCCGCGACTACTTCCCGGAATCCCTGACTGCCATGCTGACAAGCGTTTTCTATTCGATTAATCCAAGTCGGAGGGTATATGTGGTCGCCACTTACCCAATTCTGCAATATGTTTCCTGCAAAAGTTCCGCGCAGGCTAGCAAAGAGTTGATCTTGCAATTCTTGCATTCCCTGAGATTGTCAGCTTGGTGTGAGTGGGTGGTGAAAGAAAACTTGCCTTCTCCATCTTTGTCACCGCTTCTTTATATCCAACCTCCATCTCCTGCTTCTTTGCATCCGACAGGACATGAGCTGAACGGGTCGCCGAGGACCAAAGCAACATTGACTGCAATAATTTCTTCAACTCGATTAGGAAGAGCTTACTTGACGCCTTTCGTGGACCTTCCGTCAAACGGATACAGTGAGCTTGCAACTGGGGTATCTCAGTTTGTCCCGCCTCGGTGAACCCGGCCACTCCAGGCTCGTTCTTCTGAAGCCGACCTTGGAGCTTCTGATATGCCTTGGTTGAGACACAAAAAACAGGAAGCTCCCCCTCGAGTTCAATCTTGCCATTCAGGATCCGGTTGTCGTTTTCGCGATTTAAGTGCTGAAAGTGCCTGGTGATCTCTTTCTTGGAATAATTGTTGCGTTCCCGGATGGAAGTTTGGATATTGTTCACGTGTTTCTGGACCAGATCAGCTGTGAGTCTCTCCAACTGTTCTCCCTTGACCTTTCTCTGTTGAATGAGAGAGTTGCGTCGTTTGCGAAGTACCGATTTTCGGGCCTTGTGTTCACGAAGGATCTCCTCTTTTGAGGCTAGGGTTGAAGTTTGAGCGGCTTCAGAACTCTCAGGCGTGACTGCTGCACACGCGGAAGCTTGACTGACTGGGAATTCAGTGAAAATGCTTTCCGCATCGCTTTTCCATCTTCTCTTGAGGGGAGATGGCTGTGGGTAGTCTGTCGAATCATCTTCCAGGCTGTCGATGTGATCTTGCGTCTCATTCAGTTACCCCTCGACTCTCGCCTTTTCCTCGTCGAGCATTTGAACCTCGGTCGACAATTCATGCTTCTCTCTTTCCTCTCGTTCAAATGACGGGCTTTGGAGCCCCAGACACATTTGGACTTCAGTGACAGAAATATCATCGGTCTTCGTGCAGATGAAAGTTAAACTATCGCATATGCAATGAAAGATCATGTGCGACTTGAGATGCTTGCTGACCAACGACTGGGCGATTTTATCATCCACGGCTCTGTTGATGGGCGCCACGATCCAGTGGGCCGCATAGCGCTTCAGATAGTCGTCTGCGACAGCGACACGAGCAGCGTTGGAGTCATACAGGCCAGGAAGATCCACCAGGAACGCGCCGGTTGCTAGCGCCTGGGCTTTGACGTACAGACGGACTGTCTTGATAAGCGGCCAGAGACCTGCGTCATCTCGAGCTGTTCCGCTCTTGCTGTCAATGTAGGGCTTGAGCTTGTCTCCAAAGACCCGAGGGTCGTCATCCTCGATCAAGAGCGAGGATCCCAGCAGGTTCGCAATGCGCGGATGGCCAAGCAGCCTTTCCATCGTGGTACCTGTGAGATTCACGTTATCCAGTTCGGGATACACAGCCTTGATCTTCTCCCTGGTACTCTTGATGGCGTTTATATCCGGATTCTCGTCCAGCATCTCATGGCACGAGATCTCCAGCTCTCTTTTCCACTCCTCAGGCAGGATAAACTGGACTTCAGCTTTGTATCGCCGAGGGCCATCATTATAAGCGACCTCGGTGGCAACCGCCGTGGCCGCACGCATACAGTTCGTCGCTAGCATTCCCTCCTCATCAATGATCGCATTGATAAGGGACGATTTGCCTGCGCCCGTGGCCCCGAGCACCCCAATCACCGCTTTCGGTTTTCTAGCAGATTCAAGCAGTTCACTGATAGCGTCCCGCCAGTCCGTATCTCCAGTCGAGACATGGGACTGGTTGAGAACCCCCAGGAGTTCGCTGAGCACAGTCTTACCTTTCTCTACGGCCGCTTCCAGAGCAGAAACAGGAACGGCCATGTCGTTACGAGCCTGGGATTCTCCTCTCTGCTCCACGCGACCATCGGCTCTCTCGTCGGCATCTTTGACACTCAGTGTTTCGTAGCAGATGGTCAGTTCCGTGGACTCCATTCCTACGGATCGGCAGTCAGATCAGTCTGGGGACGGGCTGGTAGCAGAAGGCTTACCTTGGTGCTGATCCTGCTCATGATGACCATGCCGGGGACTTTGTTCAGCTGGAACCTGGAACTCTGCTTGCTGCTGCTGCTGCATACTGTCAGTGGTAGTAAAGTCCATATTGTTGTAGATGTACTCCGTAGATGTAGATGCAGGTGAGATGGGGTTATAAAGTGCACGTGCTTCAGCAGATAGAATAGATTAGTTTGATATAAAGGGTAGTAACACTTGATCTTGTGCATTATGAATCCTTTTTTGTTTGTCCAGTGAATGGAAACATAGTAGTGACTACATTAGTTCTAAGGAGTTCCATAAAGAATGGAGAGTGAATGACTTGAACTATTTATGGGAGTGAAGTTAGTGAATACTGAGATTCACCAGGTTTGCATCAGGTTGTAGATTACCTATGGATGCCCTTGTCTGGAACTGACCAGAATACCATGCTTCTGTCTAGTAATATCATTTAGGGTTGTCAGCATGGAGTGATTGCGCGGTGAGTCCATGTCATTCTTGGAAACCAAGCTCTTAATCTGCCATTGCCCTTCTGCTTAGTCTCTTCAGCAGTGCATCCTCTCTTTCTTGAATCCTAGCATGTCTATTCCCGTGAAAACATCTTGGTCTTCTCGCGACTTGTGTACTTGTCAATTGAGTAGGGACTGTAGCTTAAAGTTCGACCTTTGTGGTACCTCGAATTGAGGCCATGCTGTTTTCTACTTGTTTGCCCTCCCAGGAATCTTCAGAAGGATAATGAAAGGATTTTATCGCAGCCATTTCCTAGGACCTGGATACTTCTGAACATATATTGCCACCAGGGTATGGTCCGGTATATTATTGGGAGAGGGTTGATGTTGATTCTTCTCTAGAGATAGACCAATGAATGACATAATCTGCAGGTACCAGTCCGGTTGTTGTGACCATCACAGGCCAAGAACTTCGCCGGACACACATCGACGTCATCCTTGAATCTTTCTTCATCCACCACTGCATATAGAGAGGTACATGATGTTAGACTAGTTCTGTCTTCGTCGTCGATTGTATAACATTACACTTTCTGTCTTCAGGTTCGAGTTTCGTCTTGCACAGAGAAAAACAGAAAAAAGATTCTCGACCGCACGACACATAGACCCGCAGGATGGCCTCACGAGAGCGATCAACCCCTTCAATTGCAGCTACCACCACAATGCGGCCTCCCACGACGGCTCTTCTTATCTATCCAGTGACCTTACTTGTGGGATCACTCTTTTCCATCCTTTCTCCCACAGCCCGAGGCTCCCAGCAAACCCATCACGCGCGTCCCGCTTCACTCGCTCCCTCCATCGCCGCCAACGTGAACCTTTCCCCTCCAAACCCGGTCAACTACTTCGCTCGCAAGGACAACATCTTCAATCTCTACTTTGTCAAGGTTGGCTGGGTCTGGACCACGCTCGCCTTCGTCTCCCTGCTCGTCTCCCAACCCACCTACACTACCCCTTCCGCACACCAACCGCGCCGACTCGCCCAGGCCGCCCTCCGATACAGCCTGGCCACGCTGGTGTGGTACATAACGACACAATGGTTCTTTGGGGCCCCACTTATCGACCGCAGTTTTGTGATTACAGGCGGGAAATGCGAGCGCATTGTGGCGGAGACACCGGTGAATCCGGCGGAGGCTGTTGCGCAGGAGGGGTCCCTTTCTGCGGGACTGGAGAAGATGTTTACGGCGGCGGCCTGTAAGGCGGCTGGAGGTTCATGGACAGGGGGTCATGATGTGAGTGGACATGTGTTTATGCTCGTGCTTGCGACGTCAATGCTGGTTTTTGAAGCTGTTGGGGCGATGAGGGCTGTTTCTGTGAGGGCGGAAGATGATAAGAAGATGGATGGGGAGGTTTCTGGTCAGAGTGAGGATGAGAGGGTTCAAGTTCGGAGCGGCGAGGAGGGGGATTGGATGCGGACTTGGTCTTTACGGTTGGTAAGTGCTGTTGTGGGTTTGGGATGGTGGATGCTGTTCATGACCTCGATTTGGTTCCATACGTGGTTGGAAAAGGTATGTTTTCTTATCCGGGAAGAGAGGTCATGCATTGCTAATGGCGTAGTGGTCTGGGCTGCTGATTGCTCTTGGGACGGTCTACGTTCTATACATCTTGCCGTTGAGTGTGCCCTCCTGGAGGGATATCGTTGGAATTCCTGGAATATAAGAACGACGATACGTATGCATGATAGACTTTGTGTACGAGTAGGGACCTTTTTTCAGTTCATTCTTTGCATCGGCGTATATACTCTGAATGCAACCGTGTACATCACCCATTTTTGCCTTACCTACTTTTCTGGACACTCCGGCTCAGGACCCAGATACCCGCTGCGAAAGGCTGCACCTGCTGTCAGTTTCTTCATGCTCTTCTCTGGCTGTTGTTACTCACCTCCAGGAATTAACGCTGCCGCATACATGATCCGAGTGATGGGCCGCAGGTCGTCTGGCGTCACGTCGGTCGAGAGAGACAGCTCCATGTACGGATCCCAGGCCGCGATGATGGCATCGGCGTACACCTTGAGGTCGACCGCGCGATCCTTCTCGGTGGTCTGTTCCGCCTGGCACAGGATGCCCATACACGTTCCAAACTCGCGAAACGCCAGCCGGTACTTGATATTGCGTTCGAGGTAGCGGTTGATCTCAAACAGATCATCTGTGTCCATCAGCATTCATCTACAGACGAGGTGAAACAAGCAGCGAATACAAATCTGCTCAAAGCACCGCCCCGCCAACCTCGCCGCCCAGTCCTCCTTCTCCGAGAACCAATGCGCCGTCCACAGCGTCATCCCCAGGTCCAGCGGATCACTCGACACAAAATGCTGCCCCTTCCGCTCCATCACCCGCTTGTAGTCGGCAATCTCTTCGGCCAGCACCGCCCGTCCACCCGCCTGCATCGCCGCCCCCTGCAGCAGCCGGAACACCACATACCCATCGATGGGATCCAGATTCCCCTCGGAAGCCACCAGCGGCGCCGACAAATCCATCGCCATCTTCCAGACCATCCGCGGCCGCGCAGACTCGCGATGCACAAAGAACCGCGGGTGGATCGCCTTGGCCAGCGCCACCGCCTGCGCGTTGTACGCCGGGTCCCCCGTCGCCAGCGACAGCCGGTTCAGCGCAAACATCCACAGCGTCAGGTAATGGTGGTACTGGCCGTCCGCGTCCGGGCCGCGCTCGTCCATCTTCCCGATGCGCAGCCCGCCGCCGAGCGGGTTCTCCTCTGTCGCACCGGGTAGTCGCGCCTTGCCGTCGCGCGTGCGGCCCAGGATCTCGTGCACGGTCTCCACGACGCGCCGCGCGAGCACCAGGTACCGATCGTCTGGGGCTTGGGCGGCGTTCGCGAGCGACTTCTCGTATTCGCGGTGCATGGTTATCAGGGTGAGGACGCCGAAGGCGTCGGTCCAGAGGTAGCGGCCGCGGTGGCCGCCGGAGTTAGGGGGCGGGGTCCAGGCGGAGGGATCTGGGATGGAGGAGAAGCTGCCGTAGAGGGATTCGACGGACTTTTGGAAGCGGTCGACGCGCGGGGATGGGCTGCTTATGGGTGTGGCCATTGTGAGGATGCGATTTCTTGTTGTTAGTACTCTAGCTGATAGGGATCTAAATCTGGGCAAGACTCTGCGGAGATTATTCATTGCTTATTTGCGAGAGATTTTGGATTCTCATATTTGGGCTACACGATATAATAATACGTTTGTTGTGGTCCTTGGTACCATATGCTGCGGTGAAGTCATGATGATTGTAGAGTTGACGAGGAGGTGATTTCATTCGCCGCTGGCCACCACCAGTATTAATATTTGACTATTTAGTAGTCGAGGCGCATATCCGACTCCTTGCCATCGACAGTGACCTGATTAATGAGGTCTGTTCGACGATTCTTTACTCGCTCTCGGCACATGGCGCAACTCCAGCAACTTTTCACCCAGGCAGCCCACCCGCTGCCCCCCATCTCAGACCCCAGCTTCGGCTCGCATTTTGATGACTTTGGAAGTTACAAGGTCGTGCTACTAGGCGACGGCAGCCATGGCACATCGGAATTCTACGCCGCCCGCGCGGAGATAACCAAGCGGCTCATCGAGCACCATGGCTACACGATGGTGGCCCTCGAGGCGGACTGGCCCGACACCGAGGCCATCGATCGCTACGTCCGCCAGCGTCCCGGCCCCAAGGCGAGCATTGGCGGCAAGGCGCGCGACCTCGAGCCCTTCAAACGGTTTCCCACCTGGATGTGGCGCAACCGCGAGATGCAGGATCTCGTCGAGTGGATGCGCGACCGCAATTCCAGACTGCCCGACGAGAAGAAAGCCGGGATCTACGGCTTGGATCTCTACAGCATGGGCGCGTCGATCCGCGCCGTCATCGATTACCTGGACCGGGTGGATCCACCCGCGGGCAAGGAGGCTCGCCGCCGGTACGGCTGCCTCCAGCCCTGGGTGGACGACCCCTCCGCGTACGGGCTGGCCTCGCTCCGCGGGATGGCGGACTGCGAGAGCGGGGTGGTGCAGATGCTGCGCGACCTGCTGGAAAAGCGGTTGCAATACGTGCAGCACGATGTGCTCGACGGGGACGAGTTCCACAGCAGCGAGCAGAACGCGTTCGTCGTCCGCGACGCAGAGCGGTACTACAAGGCAATGTACTACAGTTCCGCCTCTTCGTGGACGCTGCGCGACACGCACATGTTTGATACTCTGCGGCGGCTGTTCCGGCACAAGCCTACTGATGCCAAGGCCATTGTCTGGGCGCACAACTCGCACTGCGGCGACGCACGCTATACCAGCATGGGCACGCGCCGCAACGAGGTCAATATCGGCCAGCTCATCCGAGAGAATTTTGGTCGGGAGAATGTCGCAATCCTCGGGTGTGGCACGCACACCGGCACCGTGGCCGCCGCCCACGAATGGGACGATGATATGGAGGTGATGAAGGTGCGGCCGTCTCGTGATGATAGCTGGGAGATCATCGCCCACGATACGGGGATCCCGAGCTTTGTGATTGATCTGCGCAAGGAACACCTCGATCCTGCTTTGCGTACGGCGATGGCCGCTGAAAAAACCCGCCTGGAGCGTTTCATTGGGGTCATATATCGTCCGGCCACAGAGCGCGTCTCTCACTACTC